TGGTTTGTTTTTTTTTGTTATTTTTATTCCCAGCGATGCCCAGACAGCTGGCATTGTGCCAGGTGGGAACAACCACTACTCTGGAGACAGTCAGGGCTAGGAGAGTGAGTCACAAGAGAGCAGAGGCTGAGAAGTAGGGCAGATGTGTGTATATATGAATACATGCCTGTGTGCAGTGGCCATGCATATCCTGCAAGTAGGAATAGTCCGTCTTTACTGGGTATATTTAATTCTTGTGCATAGGAACGTATAATGTAATAGCATTAGGATCTGTAGGGAATACAGTCTACACTTTCATAGCTCTTGCTCATATATAATTTCAAGACACTCTGTGGCAGATGTATTAGAGCTGCAGCTAACGATTATTTTCAAAATCGATTAGTTAGCCGATTATTAAGTTCGATTAATCGGTTAATCGGATAAAAAATAAAATACATTTAAAAAAATGGCTCCAGTGATGGGACTTCTAGTTTGTATTGAGATTGCAGTCCATCACAGGAGCAAGCTTGGAGCAGTAGAAGTAAAAAAGAAAAAAAAAGTGTGGTGTACAATATAGTGAAATGAAAAGTGTAAAATTATACAGCAATGAATGCGGAATACCACCAGCTATAGAGGACTACAAATCCCAGCAATAGTACATTATAGCTGGCGGTATTCTGCATTGCTCTGTATAATGTGCTATTGCTGGGTGTTGTAGTCCTCTATAGCTGGTGGTATTCGGCATTGCGCTGTATAATGTATTATTGCTGGGATTTGTTGTACTCCTCTATAGCTGGTGGTATTCCTTGATTTGTAGTCCTCTATACAGTGCAATGCAGAATACCACCGCCTATATAGGAGTACAACAAATCCCAGCAAAACATTATACATGCAGTGTACAATGTATTGCTGGGATTTGTATTCCCATGTATAATATACAGCACAATGTACCATCAGCTATAGAGGAATACATATCCCAGCAATACATTATACAGCACCATGTGGGGGGGGAGTGTAGGCTTACCTGAGCAGTCTTCCAGCAACGTGCTTCTGCGATCGGACCTGTCTATCAGCAGCTGTCATTCCCGCGTCCCCGTGCCGATCGTGGATTTGGACGGGCGGTGAGTGTGAGGCGCGGAGGAGGTGCGGGAGCGTGGATGCGGGCAGGGCTGGCAGCGGCGAGCGTGAGGTGGGGGAGGAGGTGTGGCACGCAGCGTGTGTTAAGCCGTGAACAGGGCCAACCAATCAGGAGCCGATTAATCGATTATTGAAAAAGTTGACAACCTTTTCAATAATCGATTATAATCGATTATGTCGATTTAGTTGTTGCAGCCCTAAGATGTATGATAATAGAGTAAATGAAGCAGGAGGATAGAATAGATAACGGCCACAGCATCCAATCAGATTTTATCTTTCAGAAACTGCTTGCAATAGGCAGTCGCTAAAATGTTTTATTTTTCATAAATCTCCCTATCACATGGTGCTTTTGGTGTAATGTGTAGCATGATTTTGTATTAGATATGTGAGCTGTCTATTCTGTGCAGCAGTTTGCATCGCGCTGGGTAGTACCGTCCTGCAGGTCCAAAGGTCACAGGATAAAAGATGAGGTGGCAGAGCTCAGTGACTACACGTGTGCTCCGGTCGCCATCTTGGACACACCCCATCTCGCTGGGTAGTAGTTGTAGCTCGTAGTTCCCCAGTAAGTTACAGGACCATAGGGTTGACCATACCAAATGAAGAGCTTGTTTACACAGATATATGTCTTTTTATAGGAGTTAGTATCCATAGATGGGTAAATGTCTCAGCAGAAATGGTGGGTGGTGAGAAATCTGCTTATCTCTTCAAACCAGTGCATAGATATACGTACCTTCATTTTTATTCATAGAATAAGGAAGGGTTGATGCCTCCCCACACAGAGATTGTCCAACCACATCAGAAATCAGTATGTACGATATTAGGGGCTTCTGAATGTTGAAAGTCCCCCAACCCCCAGAGCAGATCTACATAGTTCAGTCTTTACTTGGTGATCACAGGCAATCTACATTAGGTCACTCAAGAGTAGAAACTCGCCATTTAAGAAGACAGAAAATGCAACTCGCAGCCAGTATGGGGCATGGGTAAGAGGGATGTATTGTACAACACAGTAATTAAGGGTTTTCTCATTACATAAAGTGTCATTCTGGTATTTGAAGATGTATTAATATCTACTATGTTTATCTACAGCAACCTTCAGATACTCCCAGCACTCCAAAGACTACAAAAGATCCCCGGGAGATAGCTTTTCCATTGCCGGCTGTCTCAGTTCAGCTCACTCCCCTCAACCTGTCCTCGTTCTGCTCAGAGAGCCTACTGCGACTTTCTGAGCACCAGGTGAAAGTCCGATCAGTACCAGCCACCTCATCATCTCAGCTTGAAGCCAGCCGAGGAACAGGGACCAAAGTCTGCTCTACCATGTCGCAAGCCACCCGAAGTAAGTCTTAGCTTTACCACTAACGTGTCATCAGTGTTATAGACTATGCTTATCTTGTTTAATGTACTCAACTGAACACAGCAACCTGCTTCTACCTATAATGATTGTCCATACTGTAGTCTGCATACTTATTCCTCATGTTCATGTTTAGAACTGGTGCATACATTTCTCAATCCATGTTTGTGTTGGACATTTCAATGTGTGAACTTGTTTCCCCTTAATCTGCTGGCCCATTGTTGCTAATCAATATTGTTACTAGTTCCTTCCTATATTGTTCCTTCTCATATCTCTTTCCTGAAAAAGATGAACATGTAGAAGACGCATCATTTCCTCGTCAGGACACCCGTGTAAGCCAATCGGCCAAAGCTGTAACCATCAGCACAGTATCGGACTCTTCTCATTGGCTGTCGGACAGGGTCACAATCTTTGCCAGTACCAGTCACACAGACACAGGTAAGCATGAACTAAGGAAATGTGCAAGACACAATTATTTAGACAGATTGAAATATGGACCCATGCGCTTTAGACGTCTACTGTATGTGCACTAACACAAAAGCTTCCAATATTCTGCCATTGCCCTTAAGCTTTATATAAGCTGTCTGTATTGTTTTAGGGGGTTGGTTGAATCTGTCTATTTTAATATTAGGCCATTTACACACAGGCTTCAGCTTGCAAAAGACTAGTCTGTACAGTAAATTTGCAAAGCTTTCAAGCAGCTTTCTTGAACCCTTTAAAGTGTAAATCAGGGCAAAATAATTAATAAAAACAAGAATATGTGTATGTATGTATATATATACGTACGTGTGTTTGTCAATTGAAACTAAATTTCATGCTGAATGCAATAAAAATAACAGAATGCAAATATGTGAAGTAACTGTATTGAATTCAGCTTGAAATTGTGTTTCAATTGACATAAACATTTGCATTTGGTGCAAAATAGCATTTCCTATAAGCCTGCAAAGTTTAAAAACATATAAAAATTTCAAAAAGTGTCCACAATTTCTGCCACCACTGTGTGTGTGTGTGCATGTATGTATGTATATGCATATGCAAAGCCCTATACCCACTGTTAATCCAGAAGGCAAAAAAAGAATGAGCTTTATACCCTAACACATCTGCAATTACAGAGAAATGTTGTTCTGCCAGAGTGGTGTCAGCCCATACCAATGTCTTTTCCTAAACTATTCATCTACTCCCACTCTCAGATCAGCATAATATAAAGTCTAATCACTCTGTAGTCCATGATTGGAGCTAGAAGGGCTCTTTGAGATAAAACAGGAAATGTGGACCGGACAGCTGAGGGACAGCAGAAGCTTTTTGCACTTATCAAACAGATATACCAAAATGCTTCCAATTTTGTATTTAACAGACCACAAGGGAGTAAAGTTTATTGTTAGGATTTAAACTCCAGCCTTCAGTTCCACTTTGGGAAAGTTAAACACAGATCATATTGAGAGTGCTGCCAGTCACTTTCAAAAGGCAGCTAGCAGGCTTTCAGTAAGTCCTGAACTTATAAATTACTAAAGCCTGCAGCAGCTTGATCAGTAACAGTCAGCACTCCCATGTTCTGTTTTTCACATCCCAAAACTGAAGGATACATTAAAGTCTATTAAAGTCAAAATGTTTGTAAGTTCAAATGCTGATTAAATCACTAAGGATGCTGCTCCTTGGGCTTTAAAAGTTTCAGTTTCCTGTAGAATCAGCTGAGCACTGGCCCTGTTATCCTGTTTTAGGGTGGCTCCCTTCCCTTACAGGTCCTATGGAGCCACCCCTGTGTGTGCTAGTAAGCTGTGTGTCTCCACATGGCATGGCATGGCAAGACACTCCCCTGCTCCTCCCTTTTTCAAGCTGGTAGATGGACAGTTGCTGGAGTCTGTGCTCTCCCTTGAGATCTTGTACTGGACAGAGTTCAGGGTAGTCGAGCTGAGAGATTTGGAGCTGTTCAGAAACATGAAGACTGCAAGTTCTTTGGGCAAAAATGTAAAGAAATACTTTGCTGGTCAATGTATATTTGTTTGATCTGGATTCATTATTGAATAAAAGTTTAATACTACTTTAACCCTTATGCTGCCCCATAGGTATAATGTCATACGTTGGCAGCAGCACATGTGCATGTGCACAAGTTCCCGGCTGCTATAGCATTCAAGAGTTTGTTTACATGTTCTCAACCGACTGTCGGCCTTTTAGTGGAAGGCTTTACAGCGGCCTGATCGCTCTCACATGCATCAGCTGTCAGCTCCCTTGTGACAGCAATCAAGTTAATTTAAAAAAAATTAACTACCTCCCGGCCAGCCGCTGTGTATACACGGCCTGCCGGGAGCTTCTTGGATGTAACTGGGCGTGTATACACGTCCTGTTAAATCCCCGCTATTTGAAAAGAGGCAGCGATGCCCGTTAATATACAAGCGATCTGCCGGCTATAGAGCCGGCGGATCGCTTGTATGAAGCCCCGAGACGTGCGCCC